GGTCAGCTCCCCTGGTCTCATGCCCCTGGTGGAAGACAATGCTCCATACTCGAGTTTGAGTAGAGTAAGTTGGCTTTGCTAGAGAACCTTCATTTGAGCCCAGATTCATTTCTGCCCTTCTCAGCATTATAGAGTTCATTGCTTCACACCACATTAGCCCTGGGGATCCTGTAGCATCTCAACAACAGTGGTGACACAGCACACCCTCCCACAGGTCACAGAAGCCCCCAATCCCTCCAAACCCCTTTCTGTAGGTTCCCCATAGGGTGTGGCATTGACAATCTCCCTTTCCTTTCTTGGTGCCACCATCTCCTCCATGGGCTCCCTGGGAGCTAAGCTTCTGTTCCACTGCTACTCTGGACTCCCTACCCAGTGTGTGCGTGCCCCCCACCCTTCCAGTCTGCTCCAGCAGGGGCTAGGAAGGGAGCAGAAGATGAGCTCTCCTCCCCCCACCCATAGGGAATTCCATTACTGGAATTCTATGACTACCACTGCCCATTTCTCAGGATTTGATGGAAACTCAGGGATGCAGTCACTTTCCTTGGCTTCTTTCTCACAGCATCCTCACCACCTCCTCAACCCCCTTGCTGCAGCACTGTCCTCTAACTTGGCACTGGGCCTTAAACACTCCAGAACTAAGAACCTTCGCCTGCCAATGACTTCATTGATTTAAACAAGCATGGAAGTTTGCCACACTGCATTGAATTTTTTATATCTGGTCTCTTTGAACCCCAGGTCAGGGACACAGTGAGGTCTCAGAGATAGACCAGACTTGTCTCCGGGATGCCTTTGAGCCGGCTACTCTCTCTGTGTGCATTTCAGTGTGTCTACATCACTCCTCTTGCTGCTGCTCAGCATTCTCAACTTCCCAGGTCACACACAGCTCCCACAGAGGTTGGTATCTCTGAGTCCCAAATCCATATTTCAGGGGAAGAACCAGACTGGCCCACCTTGGATTAATTAGCTGTGGCCAGTAGGTCCCAATGACATCATAGAACATGGTTGTGGTGGGAGTCATCAGAGTGGAGAGACAGCTTCCTGTGAGAGTGTAAAACAGGTCTTCAAGTGCTGGCCTCTGACCAAGTTGTGAATTTTAACCCCTCCTCCCTGCAGGCAGAGTTCTTTCCCTACATTATAAATACAATGGCATGGAGGTCATTTCCACTTAAGGATGAAGGACACAGGAGACATAATCCAGAAGATAAAGACTTCAGTCCCAGAGACCAATCTGTATTGCTCTTGCCAGGTACCCTCACCCCTTCCCCAGTTCTCACAGCTTACCCCTCCCACCTGCCACGCATGCACACAGCTACACAGCAGTTGTGCTGTGGAGAGCTCACACCTGCTGTACACAGCTCGTGTAGACACCAGGCAGCACAGCACTTTGGGGGCAGGCTAATGTGGTTCTGACACTGGTTCTGCCATTTAACACCTGACTTTCCACCTTCAGGAAAGTCATGTACCCCTTCTGAGCCTCGGTTTCCTAGGCTACAAATGGACACAATAATACTCATTTCAAAGGTCTGAAAAGAGCTAACATATGCCATGCCATTAAAACGGTGCCTGTTGAATTGTAGGTGCTCAATAGAAGATTCCTTTTGCTATTAAGATTGTTGTTGTTTTTAATATTAACCTTTACCATAAAACCTGCAAATGCCATTTTAAAATAGGCAACCAATCTTCAGGTTGATTTCATAATTGCAGACTCTACACCATGTTCCAAAGGAATTGGACAGCACATTCCAATAGAACAGATGGCTAAAACTAATGCAGATGGTAAATGTAAGGCCTTTTGGGGTTCTCTGTCTTTATTTGTATTTTCTGACACATGCAGAGAATGTCATCTTCTAGTCAGAACTGTTGTGAGAATAGAAATAAGAAAAAATACATAAAGCACTAAGCACTGTGTCTAGACACGGAACATATTCAACATGTGATCATTGCTGTTTTTATTGCTGTAACTAGCATGATTATGGCTACTATTATATTACTAGTCCTAAGAGGAAAGGTGCTTAAATATTCATTGGCAAATCCTTTAAGGCAATCATTCCATGGACTACTGTGCAAAGCCAAGAAGCTTCCTTTCCTAGTTAACTTTGAAATTTATATGTGTGTATATGTAAGATTATATACATACTAGAGGCCCATTGCATGAAGATTTGTGCAATAGGCCTTCCTTCCCCTGGCTGCTGGCATTGGCTTTCCTCTGGCACCCAGGACCCAGGCCTTCACTCTGGCTGCAGGGGAGAAGCCAAGCCTTGAGACTAGGCTTCTCTGCTCCCGGCTGCAGTGAGGCTTCAGACTTCAGTCTTCAATCTTCAGTCTTTGCTCAGACTGGAGCCTTCAGTCTTTGCTGCATGCCTGTGTATACAAATTAACATTCCATCTTTGTTGGGTTAATTTGCATGTTCACTCCTGATTGGCTGGTGGGTGTCACAGAGATACCATTGATTTGCATATTTCTCTTTTATTAGTGTAGGTAATTTACATAGATAGGATAACATATACATCAATATATAAAACTCAAAGTAATTTACAATAAAGCATTTTAATATATTTTTAATTTTTATTTATTAATTTGAGAGAGAGAGGAAGAGGGGGAGAGAGAGAGCACTGATTTGTTTTATTCCACTTATTGATGCATTTATTGGTTGATTCTTGGATGTACTCTGACCTGGGATCAAACCCACAACCTTGAAATATTAGGATGACACTCTAACAAACAGCTACCCAGCCAGGGCAAAACAAAATATTTTCAAAATATATCACCACATCCCTCGGAAGTGGCAGCTTTGGGGTGGTTCTTGCTGGCTGCAGCTTCTGTTAAGTGCAAGACTGCTTTCTTGCTGGGGCAGCCTTTTCATTTCTGTTTGAAATAAGTGCCTTACAACCTCAAGGCAAATGATACAACTTCCCACCGCACCTTGAGCAGCCTATCTCGGTGTCTGTGACCCAGATTCACCATTCATTTAAAAGGGAACGCTACAGGGAGAAAGAAATGTTGGCTTTAAAAACATGGACACCCTCCTTCAAGCTGGGCTTCAACCTGGCCTGCTCATTGCTGGCTGGTGTGCAATAAATTCTAAGGGAATCCAGCAGGAGGGGATTCTGGTTCAAGAAAGAGAGGGGTGAGTGGCAATGAGGGGCAGTGGAAGGCAGAGATACCTGCTATGGACCTACTGCAAACATGCTCCCTTGTGCATAGAAAATTCACTGCTAGCTGCGGCCAGGACATCTGTTGGCCAGGGCCTGCCAGAGATATCTTCTTTAGGCAGGCACCGGGAAGCGCTGCCTCTCTGCTGTTGCACGATTTGCTCTCTGTGTTAGGTATTGATTTTTCCTTCACTGGAATAGCAAAGGCATGAGAGCATGAAGAAGAGAGAGGTGGTTCCCTTCCCCCATCGTGGGCTCAGAGTGATGAGTCAAAGCTACTGTAAGCCATTCCTTATCTTGCACATTTGATGAGAAATTGAGCCCGGGACTCTCTGCTATGGAGATAGCCGTGAGAACAAGAGCGTGCTATGAACCTCTCTGGGAAATGTGTTTACCACTCTCTTATCACTGTCTCCAGTCACGTACAGTCTATTCAGGGTGCACCATATTAAAATCATTCACATACAATGTCAATACAATGAAAGCGCAGCTATATATAGATTTGATTCTCCTTCCCAAGCAGAAATTGTTGTCTTCTTTATTTCCCTAAGTTTCTCAAGAATTCGGCCAATTGTTAAGCATATTTATCGAAAGATTCTGTTTATATCAGGGAGACTGATTCACACAAAGCAAAGGTTTAGGCTGAGCTGATCCAGTGATTCCACCTCTTCGATGGGAAAAAATTGCTTCTGTGTAAGAGCTAACACCCACCTGGTTTCAAGCCTCAGCCACTGGCAAATGTGTCATAGCAAGAGACCTTTCCTGTTTCTTTGACAGATTGGTCCAGGGCTGAAACTTAATCTAATGTGTCAAAAGTAGTAGGTAGTGGAAAAAAGCTGAGAAACACTAAACCTACTCAGATTTTCACAGTACTTGGAGACGAGTATGGGTTGTTGTTGATAAACAGAAAGTGTAAACATTGCAAAATGAAGCAATAAAAGACCATTATAAACCTCTACATTTGTTTTTAATGATAAAATACTCATATCAAAAGTAAGATGTAGGCATCCACATACAAAAAAATAAATAAATTTTGACACTGACCTTACATCTTCATAAAAATGAATTAAAAATGGGTCAGAAGTGCCGAAACCGGTTTAGCTCAGTGGATAGAGCATTGGCCTGCAGACTGAAAGGTTCCAGGTTCAATTCAGGTCAAGGGCATGTACCTTGGTTGCGAGCATATCCCCAGTAGGGGGTGTGCAAGAGGCAGCTGATCAATGATTCTCTCTCATCAATGTTTCTAACTCTCTATCCCTTTCTCTTCCTCTCTGTAAAAAAAATCAATAATATATATATAAATGTTTTAAAAAATGGATCAGAAGTTTAAAAGTAAAATGCAAAACTGTAAAACTCCCAACAAATATAGGAGAAAAGTTAGATGACCTTGGTTGAGTATGGTGATGATTTCTTAGATATAACACCAAAGGCATGATCCATCAAAGAAATAATTGATAAACTGGACTTTATTAAAATGAAAAACTTCTGCTCTTCAAAAGATACTGTCAAGAGAATAAGAAGACAAGCCACACACTGAAAGAAAATATTTGCAAAAAATACATCTTATAAAGAACTGTTGTCCAGAATTTATAAAGAACTCTTAAAACTCAACAATAAGAAAACAAACAACCTGATTAAAAAATAAGCAAATATCCTGAACAGACACTTAACCAAAAAAGATAAACAGATGGCAAATAAGCATAACAAAGGATGCTCCACATCATATGGCATCAGGGAAATGAAAATTACAATAACAATGAGCTTCTCCCCAGCTACCAGGGAGGTGCTTCTTGGGGAAGCGAAGACCAGGTGGGAAGAGGCCCTCACTTCATCAGCCCCTAGCATGGATGGCAGTGCCTGCCCAGCACTCACCCACACCATGGTCTTCGTCTCCTCTTGCCTGCATTACTAGCCTTCAGCCTGAGGATGAGGAGGATAAGATCAATGCTCTCATTAAAGCAGCTGGTGTAAATGGTGAGCCTTCCTGTCATAGGCTTTTTTTTGCAGAGGCTCTGGCCCATGTCAACATTGGGAGCCTCATGTGCAATGCAGGATCTGCTGGACCTGCCCTGCCAGCTAGTGCTGCATCAGCAGGAGTCCCTGCCCCTTCTACCACTGCTGCACTGGCTGAGGAGAAGAAAGTGGAGGCAAAGAAAGAAGAATCTGAGGAGCCTGAGGATGACATGGGCTTTGACCTTTTAGACTAAGCCTCTTTTGTAACACTTCCAATAAAACACTGAGTTCTGGAATAAATAAATAAAAATACTGATGAGGTACCAAAATCCAGAACACTGACAACACCAATTGCTGACAAGGATGTAGAGTAACAGGAACTCTCATTCATTGCTGGTGGGAATGCAAAATGCTGCAGCCACTTTGAAACACAATTTCGCACTTTCTTACAAAAGTAAACATATTTTTATCATACAATCCAGCAATTGTTCCCATTGAATTGTACCCAAATGAGCTGAGAACCTATGCCCACACAAAAACCTGCACAAGGATGCTTACAGCAGCTTTACTCATAGTTGTCCAAACTTGGAAACAACAAAGATGTCCTTTGGCAAGTTAATGGACAAATAAGCTGTGGTACATCCAGACAACGGAATATTATTCAGTACTAAAAAGAAATGAGCTACCAAGCCATGAAAAGAATGGAGAGAACTTAAATGAATGTTACTAAGTGAGAAATGCCAACTTGTAAAGTCTATATTCTATATGATTCCAACTATATGACATTCTGGGAAAAGCAAAGCTACGGAAACTGAAAAGATCAGTGGTTTCTAGAGATTGAAGGAAGGGAGGGATGAATAGATGGAGTGAGTGGGTTTGTAAGGCAGTGAAATACTATTATCCTATATAATAAAAGCCCTAAGGGTGTAAGGACTGTAATGACCACCAGTCGTTCAACCCAGGAGGAGGGGAGAGGGGGAACACTGAGGCCTAGAGGCACATGCTATGGCCCAGGGATCCCAGGAACAGCAAGCCCAGGGCTTGCTTTCCAATAAAATAAAAAAATAAAAAAATTGAAAACAAACTAACTAACAAACAGCTGTCTTAGCCACCCTGGGAAGAATGGCTCCAGGAAGAAAAGAATGGCTCCCAGGGACTCAGACAAACAGTGGATGGCAGCAGCTGCTGCTGCTGTGAGGGCTGGGTCGAGGCTCAGCAAGCCACGGTAACTGTGAGACCAAGGCTCAGGCAGCCTTGGCATCCGGCAGTGGCAGAAGCAGTGGTGTGATGGGGGCGTTGCCTTCCCCTGATCAGCTGGTCGCATCCCATAGAGGTAAGACAGCTATCAGTAAGACATCCCCTGAGGGCTCCTGTATTGCATTGTGAAAGGAGGCAGGCCAGGCTGAGGAACAACACCCCCCTCCCCATGAATTTTTGTGCTCCGGGCCTCTAGTGATACTATAATGATGGTAAGATGTCATTATACATTTGTCCAAACCCATAGAATGTACTACACTAAAAGTGATCCCTGAGGCAAGCTATGGTGATAACAATGGCTAAGGATGCTAATGATGTGGAATGTAGGTTCATCCAGTGTAACAATGCAGCTCTCTGGTGAAGGATCTTGAGGTAGGGGACACTCTGCATTTGTGAGTCAGTTGGTATTTGGGAAATCTCTGTACCTTTTTCTCAATTTTGCTGTGAACTTAAAACTGCGGTAAAAATAAAATCTACTTAATAGGGGGAAAAAGATGAAGTGACATAATATTGAAGTTCCTACACAAGGGAGAGAGAAGTGAAGATGGGGAGGAAGTAATAGACTTACAATGGGATTTAAAAGCTGAATTTGCTGCTCTCTCAAAGCTGCAATGAAGTGTCCATTGCCATAAACCTTTGTCTATTTTTAGGTTGGCTCTATGTTCCCATTTCACCACTACTCCTTTTTTCTTTCCTGTTCTTGCTTGCTGCTCCCACCCATCCCCTCTTTGCTTCATTTTTTCCATTTGTACCTATTTCCAGTTTTCTTGCTAACCACCCTTTAGAGTCTGGTTTCTGGACTGTGAATCTTCTTACCATGCTGTAATTAGGAACCTTAGTCATTTCTTTGACTCTACAGCAGACACACACCCTTTGACTTGACAGGATGGAGTGATGCTGAAGCCAGCATCCTCACTACCTATATAACCAGAAAACATTTGTGATATACCTACAACCCATTAGAGAGCATTCTGGAAAACAGCAACTTTCAAAGAGAATATCTTCATGACCTTGTCCTCAAATATGGCCACTATAAATAGATAGATTTCCCTAATTAATTATATAAAGCTTATTAAAGCACTGAAGAAGACATGGTTGTTGACCCTGGGGAGAGGAAGACTAATGTGGAAGACAGACTTATATGCAAATAATAGTAATCCAATGTGCTTAGTTCAACTTTGGAAGAATACTCAGGAAGGGATGATCATGGAGAACATAATCAGATTGCACAGATGTGATAAAGAAAAGAATGGCTTGCAGAGGAAGGTGGGAGGCATTTAAAAGAAATTGTGAAGGAAACGTCGGTATTTCTCAGGCTGTCAGGTCAAGTCAGGGTACAGCAGAATGCAGAAGCTGGAAGGTGCTTACGGAGCTAGGAGACTTGCCTGTGTTCCCAAAGCAGCAAGAGAGAGAGTGTGTGGCAGGGGGAGGGGTGTCTGAATAGAGAAGGGTCAAATTGGTCACACAAGGATTTGGCCATCATTCTTGAAGAAGCCTTTGAATAATTTTCTGGATTATATTCCACATAGGGAGCAACTAAGGAAGGGATATCAGAATGCCAAACAAGGGATATGGCAGCAGCCATGTCTGAAGAGAGGAGAGCAGTGAGTTGAGAAGAATGAAGAAAGGAAGAATGAGCAAGGTGTTTTCTTTGGGAATGAAAGTAAGAGAAAGCGAGGAGCCAAGGATGCACCAAGGTACCTGGCTCAGACAGCTACCACGTGCTGCGTTGTTTACTAAGATGTGGAATATAAGGGCAGAGGATGCGGACTTTGTACAGAGAGGGAGATTCCAGTCCCTGGTACAAGGAGGTGCTCATTAGTTGAATAAATGATGAATAAATGTCAAAGAGCAACATCATGGTTAAATACACATAAGAACAACCCAATTTGCAGAATCAAAGGACAACCAACCACATTGGTCATCTCTCAATCCCAGGGACTATTGTCTCATAACATAATCTCTCCCTCCTCCCACTGTCAAAAGCAAGAGCCCCACCCTAGCCAGGTTGGTTCAGTTAGTTAAGCTTCCTCCTGTGCACTAAAAAGTTGTCAGTTCAGTTCCTGGTCAGGGCACATGCCCGGGGTTGCCTGCTTGATCCCTGGTAACGGGTGTTCAGAGGCAGCTGATGGATGTTTGGCTTTCACATCAATCTCTCTTTCTCTCTCTCCCCTTCTTCCTCCTTTTATCTCTAAAATATCAATAAAATCTTTCTTTTTAAAGCCAATCCCATCCTCCAGCTGACTAGGCAGTCCTCACCACTGTAGTATACAGGATTGTACTTCAGGTGTAGGGTGCACCTTCTCCCAGGTCCTCATTTCTAATTTGAGAAGTGACGGTGCCCACTCCACCCACTGCCCACCCCTCCTTCATAGGCATTTTGAGAAGATAAGTTGTCTAATGTAACTGGTCACATTGTGTATTGTAAAGGTAAGTTAATATAAGCCCACTTTTGAGATATCGTTCCAAAAGAACAAAGCCTTATAGTCCAAATCAGATCGCTTTCCATAAAGCTCATTCTTTAATGTCTTTTTTTTTTTTTTTTTTTTGCTGATGCTGCATAATCTCAGGTTTTATCTCCAGAACTGCTCTCTCATATGTGGCACCAAAGCCAGTAGTTTAGGCTGTTGTTGTTATTGTAATAAATTGGTGGTGATTTTTGAGCACTTCTTGCTTGGCAAGCAGCATGCTACACAGTTATATCGATTAATTCATTAGTCCTTACTGCACCATAGAACCAGTGTTAAATTTCTCCTTTTTTTTTTTTTAGTTGAGGAAACTGAATCTCAAAAACGTTAATGAAAATGCTCAAGGTCCCTTGCTAAGTAGATGGAGCCGCCAGGATTTATACCCGGTTGTCTAAATCTCCTAGTCATTAGGCTGTACGTGAATCAAATGGCAAATCACTGGCTTTAGAACTACCCACAGATAACTTCACTGGCTGAAACCTAAAAGTATGTGCTAGATTTTCCTTTCCTTGAAGTCTCCTTGCTTAGAAATGCATAGAACATTGAGGCAGAGAAGCAAAATGCTACAAAGAGCCCTCAGATGTGCTATGCATTTTTTAGCCAATGCAATTTTTACTTTTAAGAAAATAACAAGGACACCTTCCTCTAAAACTTCCTTCAGTTCTCAGATTCGTGTGTGTGTGTGTGTGTGTGTGTGTGTGTGTGTGTGTACGCATGCATGCAAATGCATGTGGTGGAATTCTACTCCCAATTTTTTATCTGCAAAGGACTGCCATTCAATGCAAGCTGACAGGAGAAGGAAGGAGGTACAATCACCGCCTACCTGTGTATTTTCTCTAACCACCCAAATGGGGGCCATTATCGGAACTGAGATTAATCAAAGCACCCAGAAGCTACGTAGGCAAGTGTCTTTCCCCAGGAGACACCTTAATCAAAACCCAGTGCAATGTCAGAGAGAAATCTCCCTTAGAATATTAGAAAACCGTTGCAGGGTGGAGCCTTGATTTTATCAAACGCAGTGCATCTCCATTCTCAGCCCCCATTTTGAAGACTGGCATTTGTCTTCTGATTTTCTCTCCCTTCCAATTTGTTTTCCTGTCAAAAGGATCTCTCCTCCCTCCCCTGCCCACAGCACCACCTGATTGAATTCCACGCAGGGCTCCTGGTGGTCCTGTTCGCCAAGCTGCCTCGAGGGAGCCCTTTTGCCTGTTTCATATCATCCATCTCTCTGGGAAACTGAAACTGTGCTGCAAAAATGTAGTGCTTCTTGGGACCTCATTAACACCAGCTTCAAATGAATGGGCTTCCACAGAGCAGGCACTGAGCATCTAAACAGCACACTGAGACAACAAAGACATCAAGAGCATGACAGACAAGTGATAGAAATCAAGTAACTGGTATAAAAAGCCAGGTGATCTGCACAGGACCAAGGGAAGCTTTTCCATTTATATTTTGTGTTAATATCACATTTGTTCCCCCTGAAGCAAGGACAGGTCCTGAAAACTCAGGGATGGCAGAGAGTTGTGTGC